GGCTAGGTGCTTTTGCATTGTAAGATGTGAGCCTCTGTGGAGTTAAGATAGAACCTGGACTATTTCCCACAGGCTCATGTTTTGAACACTTGGGGCCAACTGGTGGCAATATTTGGGGAGGGTGTGGGACCTGTAGAAAAGCAAGCCTGTCTGTCAGAAGTCGCCAGGGGCATGTCTGGGAGCTTGCAGCCTGGCTCCCGATTCCCACCTGTCGCTAGTTTCTGGGATGTAGGAATGAGATTTTGCTACATGCATCCTGTGATGTCTTCCCTTTGATGATAGGCTGAAATCTCTCTGAAGTGATGAGTTGTTTCAGCTGAGCCTCATCATTCAGGCATTACAAAAACGTCTAACACCCCAGGCTGCTATTAGACCAGGAAGAGCTTTAACTCTGATCATACAGAGTAGTTTTCCCTGACATGCAGCTCTTGAGCATTTAAAATGTGCAGGTCCAAATTATGGTGTATACTGTGGATTTCAAAGACTTAGTATGAAAAGAGTGAAATTTACATTTAAAAAATGATTACATGTTGAAATAGTATTTTTTTGTGTGTGGTTAAAATAATATTGTATCGAAACCCATCTAATTTTTTTTTTAATGTGGCTAATAAGTAATTTAAATTGCATAAGTGTCTTGCATTATGTCTTTCGGGGACAACATCGTAATATGGCTTGCGGAGGATTTCTTCGTGCTTTCATGATTTTGGAGATGAGCTGGGGCACCCTTCAGGGAGGATAATGAAAGTTAAAGCCAGACATGATGACCAATTAAAGCCAAATGCTATAAGTAAATTTCAGGTGATTAAACTTTTGTTCTAAAGACTTCACTTTGGAAGATAAAATATCTGGGATCAGTACTTTGGAAATGATAAAATATTGACAATCTGGGCTGTTTTCTGTGGTCGCTTGTTTTCTGAGCTGTCACAGAGAGCTTAGATCCCCAAATATCCACAGATTCCTGTTTGCATGGTAGCGACAGTCAAAAACATGGCTTATGAAAAATATTTACAGAACCTGCTGTTTGATGAAAGTGTAGGAATTAGTGAACTAACTTTGGTCTTATGCCTCTTATTTGAAATAAAGACATCTTGGTTATTTTTTGTCTGTACTATCCTGCAAGAAGGAGAAAATGAATAGTGTGAACAGTAATTAGTTAGACATAATAGACAGTGATTCAGAAATTCTACCAAATTAGCTTTGGCAATGAGTACCAAATGAAAGGACTTGATTCCAGTCATGTTCTTAAGTTAATTCTTTTTCTTTTAATTAAAATGTAATTCAACTTGAAAAAAATTATCATATTGTGTCAATAGATTTAAAAGTCTATATGTTAAAGTACCTCTTCTTTTTGCTATAATTCATGAGTGGTCCACACCTTACATCTATCCCCACTTCACAGCTATAGTGGTGCTCAGTGGATTTCTCCCTGGAGAATTACCCTGCAGTTGACAGTAGCAGAAAAACAACCTCAAACCATCCTGGCATGGGACAACAATGCCTCTGTCAGTCCATGTGCAGTGCAACCTCAGTTGCCTTGAACCTTCTCCTATAGTGAGTGCAGGGGAAGCGTTTGAAGCACACACTGACTTATGAAAGTGAGAGAATTGCCAGCGTGAGTTTCACAGAGACAAGGAGCACTCAGTGCTTCCACAGCGATGTATTGCCATAAAAGAGGAGACATGGGAGGGGGGCCCGATTTTCATCCTACAATTGGAAAATACACCGCCATTGCCAGATAGTATAGCAGGGACAGATGGCATGGCAGCTGCTGTGGAAGAAAAATGCCTTCCGACTAGGTGAACCATGAAAAATAACGACAAGGACGGAAGGAAAAGCACAGGCTCCTCTCTGCTGTCACATCTTCCCTTCTCTAAAAAGCATCTGACTGTGTTCCATCAGGTGGCAGACTGTGAGAGAAGCGCTTTCCGCTTTCTCCACTGACTGCACATTTGGAATTTACCACCCTTCTCTTGGTAGAACTAGATTTTTGTCTTTTGAATTCTGGCAAGAATGGACGGAGGAATGCGTAGCAGTGACTAACGGGATACACAGTGCCCGTACATGGCGAAGAACAACTGATCTTTTTCTGGCTCGATTGGTTGCAACTTGATATGCAGAAATTGGCTGAAACTCATCTTGGTTTATTTTAGTTACGCCCCCAATTAACACTGATTCATGCTACAGATCACATAAACGGGAATGTGATCTTAACTTCCACTTAAACAGCTTTAAGTGGAAGTTATTTAAAATGTGACTTAGAGATGCCCAAAGCGGGCAACACACATGATCTTGACACTCACATGGCTAGACACTATCCAGTGTTCCATGTGGGTTGTTTTATTCCACTCCCTCGAGCAGTCAGCAGCAGTGAAGGGCCATTGATGCCGTGCCTGGGCTGCCCCACTAGAGAAATGCTTCGGCCTCTGTAAAGTGCACCGACTCCATAGGTCTGGAAAGTGATGTTTGAAATGAATGAAGACCTACAAATGCTGAGGCCGTAGAGTTTCGATACATCTGCAGCTAATAATATCTGCTTGGTAGTTACTGTTATATAACTAATAGCAAATAAAACTGTATTCACCTAAGTTGTGATGTAATGAGATGATACAGGCACGTGAATGATATCAAGGATGTCTTCCCCCTGCTGTTATTTAAAGAAATTGGCTGGGTGAATATCTGAAGATGTTTTGGCCATTTTATCTGGAGGTGCTGAATAAGGGCTCTAGAGTTACACTGACCAACAGATAGTTACCAAAAGGTTTCAGAGGTGGTTTTGGTAATATACAGCCTGTCTTGTGGGCATTGTTTTTAGAAACACGCATCATCTCCCAAGGTCGACCTCATTGTGGATGTGCAACTTTTACTTACGTACACACACAGGGTTTACAATCGTTGCCAGCAAGAATATTAATATAGAATCTAGAAATGACTCAGGTGTACCCCCCCCACATCCCCACACTTTGAGGAGCTGATGTTCCCAATTCACCTGGCAGTCTTGTCTTTCTACTTCCCCCTACCCCCATTTCCCAGGTCAGCTCTTGCTTCTGTTAGAGTAAAGCAGAAAAGACCGACTGCACAATCTGTGCTTCCAGGACCAGAATTCAACTCTGGTGTTTCTGTTTGAACTACAGATAAGTAATTATACATCACAAATAATTATAGAATATAAATGTAGACTCACGTTTACAGAAAGCTAGAGCAAGCTACATGGAAGCCATTGGGACAAGTCCTCATGAGAACAGCCTGAAGAGCATGTCTGCTAAGCCCTCGGCAGAGAGTCAGTTTAGGAGGTTGGTAGGCCTGCTGGGGGGCGGGTGTCTGGTTGGAGATGGGGAGAGGGCAGGCTGCACTCAAGGATAAGGTGGTGATTGCTGCTAAGCCAGCTACAGAGATCTGCGCGTCCTGGCTTACTCAGGAAGTGGGAAATACCCCGTGTTTAACATTCTTAGTGCAACCACTCGTGAAACAGCTTCCCACCCCATTTTGTGGAATTTCATGTGAGAATCTTAGGGAAAAATGCAACTTTCTCTGATTTCATAGAGGTTAAGTAATGCTTTCATTACAAACCCTATCAAGGCAGCAGCAATCTATTCTTTTCAGAAATACTTGGAAATTAAGTAAATTTCAACACACCGTTGGTATTTATACAAGAGGCACTTAAGCTGCATCACGTAGCTGGAGAACGTCTTTATTTCACCTAGGTTCTGTATGTTTTTCATTCGAGAGAGCCTTAGAATATAGCTTTTCCTTCTCTAATATATCCCTAAAAATTAAAGGCAAAATGGGATGCAGGATGATTTGCTTAATCAAACAATCTGCTTTGACAAATATACATACATACACATATATATGACATGAACACAGATAATACTGTGTATATACACGTATGTATGCACGTATAGTTTCTCTGTAGTTGGGAAAGATAAATGACAATACAAATAGTCTCCATTATATATTTTGTGTGTGGCCAGAAATGCAATTTAGAAAAATCACTGTGAACTTTGATCACCTATATTTTCCTTCATTTCTATAACCCAACAGCAAGAATAACTCTTCACATGACTCAATTTCTTGAAAAATTCTGAACAGCTTTTTGAATTACCAAAGACTAATAAAGACAAACTTACTTTTAGTGTAATTTTATGTGGATTCCACTATTTGGATTGTTAACAGAATTGATAGTTCAGATGTTGCAAAACCTAAAAAATAACCCCAAATATTCCCTTTTCATCTTGAAATGTTTTTATTCTTATTACCTTGGAGTATTATGATCCACATGCTTATAAATCGCAACTGAAGTAGTCTTTTCCATCTTGTTGTCCAAACCCATCTTATTTCTCAGACATCCCACGCAGTATTGGCAAAGGCACATAAATGAAGAAAATGTGGCTTTAGGAATATTCTGAAAGTTTTCATGGGGGACAAACTGTGGTCTTCTGACAGAGGGAGACAGGGCACAGCTTGCCCAGGATCAACAACCAAACTATAAAGAAGAGCCTTGGTTGGGCGGCTCCTGCCCCGTCCGTGCTCTCTGCACCACTCAGCATTTATTACGCAGGATTGGAACCTAACTGGACCTGGCATCGTCACAGAAAAGGAAGCTCCTCGTAGGAGTCCCTCAGAAACGATGGTTGTGTTGGGAACCCCTCTAACTAATATAATTGTTTTCCTTGATGAGATCATGGAAGTGAAATGAATCTGGAAAAAAAAAAACAAAAAAAAAACGAGCACCCTGCAACCGAGAAAAGCCACTGAGAATAAAGGTAAACCAAGAACGTTAGAAGAAGGAAGAGGAAGAGGAGGAGGAGGAAGAGGTGGAAGAAAAGAGTAGTCCTCTATTGGCTTTTGGGCTAAATACAGAGGCTAAAGGACGTCGGAAAGGTTTCGCCTTTTTAGTCCATGCTTCTCAGTCTGAATATGCTTCATTACTTACTGTGAGTAGAAGGAGTCTCCAGGCTATGAGCAGCAGCTGTAGCCTCTTACTGAATCCCTTTACTCACCTTCCATGGGGGTGTTGCTGTCTGGACGATTTGCAAAGACCACGTCCACGTATTCCAGTTGCAGCCGCTGGAGGGAGCCTTTGAGTCCTAGTAGAGAAGCAGAAAACAAACCAAAACATAGCAAGAGGCCCAACAAGTCCCAACCGGAACACTGTTTGAAAGGGCTTGAGTTCGATTTCTTTCAAGAATTTACTTAAACACAAACACTGAATTAGTTACAAAAGTTCTCTGAATAGGACATAGCAAGACTGTAGCACTAATAATTTAGCATCAGTCTGAGTTATTCACAAGAGTTAAGAAACCAGATGAGAAATGATAGTACCTGGGTTTTATTAAAGTAAGTAAAAGAGATGTTTGAGAAAGCTGGAGGGAATCCACCAAATCCAAGAATCAAACAGCCCAGAGCAGTGATTCTCAACCTTCCAAATACTTCTACTCTTTAATACAGTTCCTTATGTTTTGGTGACCCCCAAACATAAAATTACTTTTGTTGCTACTTTTAACTGTGATTTTGCTACTGTTATAAATGCAATCTAAATATCTGTGTTTTTTGATGGTCTTAGGTGATCTAGTGTTCACAGAGAGTCTCTGGATCCACCCAGAGCTGGGAGAGAATCTCTGACCTTGGAGAGGTGGACCTGGGCTCCCACCTCCACCGTTGCTACCTATGGTCAGAACTACACCCATCCTAAAGGCTGTAGCTTCAGGCGTGACACAAGTTGGCAACAGTGTAGTTAGCCAGGGGATTGCCTCCACTAGTCACCCTCACTCTCAGGCAGCAAGTTCAAAGACATTTCATTTGCAAGTTGCTCATGGTAGAAAGAGGTATAGAACTTTTACTTGAAACTCAGGTCCTTCCCTGCAGCCAGGGCCCAAAAACGACACCCAGCAGAAGCCTGAATGTCACAGGTGGTTCTAGTTACCACTTGTGCCTGGCTGCAGCAGTGTCAGGCCAAAGGTAGACCACAGCACCCGATAGGCCTCAGAAGCAAAGTCACACTAGTCTCAGGAAGCTGAGGGCCCCAGATGGGCCCCAGATGGGCCCCAGACTTGGCCCTTTGGGCAGCAGCCCTTGTGGTGAGGCTCAGAGCTGGGAAGAATCCACTTGTTCCTGGGCACAGGCTAGTGATTGCAGATGAGGTGTTTAGTCCTTGTTTCAGTTGGAGGTTGGATTACCTTCTCTAGGCAGTCCCCTAATCCATCACGTACAGCATTCCAATTGCAACAAACCTAAGATAGGGATCCTGTCTTTTGCTAACAGGACAGCAGCACTGGTTTTGGATTTACTGGGATTAGCATTCTCTAGTGTTGGAACAGTGTCAATGACTACAGGCTCCAGAAAAGACAATTTGCTTAGAATTCCTGGAAGGCCAGGCACTATTTAAGGGCAATAATGAAAACTGGAATAAATGGTCACTGAGGTGGTAGATATGTGTGGCCTCTTGGACAAGAATTCAAAACAACTATTTTAGGGAAACTTAATGAACTTCAAGGAAATACAGAGAAGCCAGACATGGTGACACATGCCTGTAATTCCAGCATTAGGGACATCGAGGCAGCAGGATTATAACTTAAAGGCCAGGCTTAGTTAAATAATGAGATCCTGTTTTCTATAATGGTCAGCTGCAAATGGGAGAAATAGTCTTCTTCAGGGAAAAACACACCAATTGGTTATCCAATACCAATGGTCCGCCCTGAAAATATACATACAAGTAACATTTTATAGGCTGTATTTATGAATGTAAGTACATAGGCATATGCATATACATACGTGTGTATGTATGCGTGCAACAACAAATAATGAAAAATAGAAGCCATGAATCTGAAAGATAGGAAGGAGGGATATATGGGAGGCTAGGAAGGGAAGAAGGGGAAAGGGGAAATGATGTAATCTCTCTCTCTCTATATATATATGTGTGTGTGTGTATAGCACAAGTAGGCAGGGGTGGAAAATGCCTTAGAGATAACCTACTGAAACACGGTCTTTAAAAACACAAGAGAAGCTGGGTGGTGGTGGCACACCCCTTTAGTCCCTGCATTTGAGATGTAGAGGAAGGTAAATCTCTGAGTTTGAGGCCAATCTGATCTACAGAGTGAGTTCCAGGACAGCGGGCTACACAAAGAAACCCTGTCTTGAAAAACAAAAGCAAAACAAACAACAATAACAACCACACACACACAAATCTCAAGAGAAACAAGTCAGCAATCATCAGGAAACCTTACTACAGAAAGCAAAATGCTTTTTAAAAAACTGAGACAAATTCTGGATCTGGAACAAATGAAAAGAAAATGGAATTGACAGCATCCATGGCAAAATCCATTTAACAGAAGATCCAAGGAACTTGAAAAGACAAGATATTTGAAGATATTCAGAGGGGAGAAGATGAGGAGGAATGAAGAAAGCTCATAGGATCTTAAGAATATCATTAAAAGAACAGATACTCAGGTTTAGGGTTTCAACAAGGGCTTCAGCATCCTAGAGTTAAACACTTATGAATGGTAACAAGGGGCTGGAGGGATGACTCAGCAGCTAATAAGGCTTCTTCCCCCACCAGGGGACCCTAGTTCAGTTCCTAGCAGAGCTGGGTAGCATTCAGTAGCCTGTAGCTCTAGCTTTCTTCTGACCATGACCCCTCTCCCCCACACAAGTGGCATCTATTCACACAGACACAAACACGTACTCATAAATTTGAAAAGAGATTAAAACAAATGTACCAAACAGTTAATAACATGAATAGAAGAGACCATACTGACAAAAATGACAGCTCAGTGACCAGTCCTAAACAGGACATTTATACCACCTGTCTAATGCTTAGGGATTATTGTAGAAAGAGGGGTCAGGAAGGACGTAAGAGCCAGAAAGGCTGTGAAATGCTAGCTCTGGGCATGCCACAGTCAGTGCCACCATGATTGCACAGCAGTAAGGCTGTCTCCACTGGACTTGTGTAACTCTGGGCTTGACATCAGTTAAACATGGATAAGGGAGGGACCCCACCCCTCAATGTTGAACTACCAGTGGCCTCTGGGGGGGGGAGGGTCAGCTATTATATTTAGTTGTATGCCCAATAATCACATGCCTGCCTTGGTTAAACTCAGGGTATCACAAAACAAAAGACATGAATGTAAGAAATAGACTTGTAGGCCAGGGGGGAGATTGACAGTAATGGGAAGATGGGATAGGAGGAAGGGAGAGTAACCAGAATGGATTATTTCCAAACAGAAGCAGAGGGAATTTCTCTCCACTTAGACTCGCCCTAGAAACAGTCCTAAGGGGAATTCTTCAGTGTGAGAGAACAAGACATTGATGAGTAAGAGGAACCCTGTGGAAGGTAACAGTAAGCTTTCAGAAAGATGCAGGGTTTTCTAATACTTTACCTATGGTACCCCAAACATCTTTAGTATGAAGATTAAAGATAAAAAATAAAAATTACTACACTCATATTTTAAGAAATAGGCAATATAGAAACAGTGAAACATTAGAAATTAAAATGTAGAAAAGACGTGTTGAGGTTTCCTTTTTCAATGTTTATGATCAAAATTAAGTTGCTGTGTTTTCAAAATAAGTTGTAATAAACAAAGGTTTTTGGAAACTTAATACTAAGTACAAAGAGAAAAACTTACAGTTTTACTATAACAACAACAACAAAAAAAAGAATCAAGCAAAACATTAGTAGAAAAACTCACAACCACAAACACTGAAAGACAGAGGAAGAAATGAGGAACTAAAAATACAGAAAACCAGTAACAGCATCATAGCAGTAAGACCTTGCCCATCAATAATTATTTCAAATATGACTGGATTAAATTCTTCAATGTAAACATACATAGTAAAAGGGAAATATTTGCCAACTATACATCAGATTGACTGATATCAAGAACACTGAAAAAACTCAACTCAATAGCAAATCATTATTATCAAGTCAAATCATTATCATCACCACCACTTCTTCATATACACATCATCTCACATACACATTTCCTCAAATAAATGAAGAAAACATGCTATTTATACATAAATATATTTTATATGTTCGTGAATATTGCATTCAGCCGTTAAAAGGGTGTATCTCATCATTTATGACAACATGAATGGAAAGAAAAGCATTATTTTAGGTAAAATAAAAGCTACAAGAAAACACATACCAAATGGCATGCAGACTTTAGCACTGTTAGTTGGGCGGGAGGGACGCTCAGTCGTGAGGAGCAGAGGGTCCTCTCTAAGCCTGGCTCCTGACACCCGCATGGCAGCTCACAGTTGTCTGCACTTCCAGGAGGATGTGATGACATCATCTGTTGTGCCTGGACACTACAGGCACATGGCACCCCCACACACATGCAGACAAAACACTCAGACACACAAAATAAAAATAGATCTACAGGAAGGACAGAGGGAGGTTTCCAGATGCTAGATGTGGGAAGAACTGAGGCATGGGAGATGAGGAACGTTGGCCAACAGGTGCCAAGTTAAATACATAGAGGGAGTGAGCTCTGCTGGGAGCAGAGCGATGATCAACAACAATGCACTGCATATTCCAAAACAGACGAGAATTTGAATACTTCTAAGAAAAGAAATCATAAGTATTTGAGAGATAGAGTTGCTTATCTTGACTTGAATGTTATCTCATGTTCGCATGCACACAATATCCCCCAAATATGTACAAATTTTGAGAAAAAAAATCTTAACTAAGAATAGGAAAAGTACATTGAATGCAATGATGTATTAGTTGATTCCCTGGAGCCATTAAATTACATCAATTCTTTGCTTCAGCAAAGAAAATCTCAGGCCTCTCTCAAGATGACTCTCAGTGGAAACGCTGCCAGCCCAGTGTCGACCTTCCATGGTGACACTTGTGGCAATAGCTGGAAGCCAAGTTTAAAATAAAAAGCAGCTTCTCTTCAGGGTCCTTTTTTCTTGTTTGTATGAGTCAGGAAAAAAAGACCACCTTAACTCCATTTAATAAATGTATGTTTTAATCATGTAAAAGGAGATCAAATAAAGGCTATGTTTCGTTAAAGTTAAAAAATTCCCTAATTTTTTAATTCCTGGTAATACTGCCACAATTTACAGGGCAATATTCCTGATGTAATGAAAAGAAAAAGAAAAAGACAAAGCTACACCAGATAAAAGACCACGGGAATGTACATCTAATTGGCACTACATTGCATTAATCAATAGCTGCACTTTTTGCAAACTGTGACGGTCCTGAACAAGAAGGTTTCCTGTATAAGCTGCCATAACTTTTCTGACTATGGATCATCGTTCTCCTGTGGCAGATTTTCACAGTTCCTCTAATGCATTTGGGACGACTGTCTCAAAGTAACCCGCTGCTTTCCTGACAACTCCTCTCTCTTTTTGCTGCTAAGAACTGTAGCCTTTTCTGCTGATTTATTTTTTTAAACCTTCTGCTACCACATCCATCACTTCCACCACCAGATCCATAGCCACCACCATCGGGACTGCCTGAGCTTCCTCCACCGACACTGCCCCCTTCATGGCTCCATAATTTGATTGCTGTTGTCCACTATAATTTCCAAAGTCATTGTTCTTCCCACCACACCATAGTTACCTCCTCCAAAATTTCCTCCTTCATTGTAACCATCATATCTTCCTCCTCCTCCTCCATCATTTCTACTACCTTGGTTTCCATGTCCTGGTCCAGCACCACCATAGCCTCCTCTACTACTGT